TATTTGTGATTGGCTTTTGTTAGACATATTCATTTGGAAGTGATTAACGAGGTTAATTTGATTAGGTGTAGAACTTTCTTTCAAATGTTGGAAGTAATTAATCGAAAGATAACTGAAATAAGTAGATGAAATAAACCTCCAAAGTTCATAAAACACATGGCACTAGATCAAAGTGTTTTCTTTAAGAGCTTAGACCTGTCTGTCTTTAGGGCCACACAAGCTTTAACTTTAATATGCTTTTAGTGGAAATAATGCTGAATTCAGCCCCTGCCTCATTTTCTTCACAGGAAAGTGCTGATAATGTCAGCCCAGATTCTGTTTCACCTTCTAAAGATGATTTGCTCGAGGAGGCTTGTAAGAAGTACGATGAGGCAACCCGTCTCTGCCCAACGCTTTATGATGTATGTATGAATAGGATTCTAGATCTGTAATTCCATAATTCAATATGATGGCTTTCACAATCATAACCAGGATATTTGTTATATGCAGTTGATAAATGGCTTCAACTTTTATATATGACGTGTGTGATTCTTTGACAGGCTTATTACAATTGGGCTATCGCAATCTCTGATAGGGCAAAGATGCGTGGTCGCACAAAGGAGGCTGAAGAACTATGGGAACAGGTAAGTAATATTGCATATTATATCAGGATTGACAGGACCTTATCCTGCTAACTGTGAAAACTGAAATTATTGTGGTTTGATCTCAACTTCGAAATACTAATTCGAAATTCTGATTTCAGGCGACTAATAACTATGAGAAGGCTGTCCAGCTCAACTGGAATAGTTCCCAGGTATGCCCCCTTCATCTAAAGTACAAACTTCACAATTTCGTCTGTTCGATACCAATCCTTGGTCAACTATATGATGCTCTTTTGTTAGCATGTGTCATTCAATGGATAGGTCTACATTGTAGTCTTTCGATTATCTGACTTATGATTTAAATTATCAATCATCTGCAGGCATTAAACAACTGGGGACTGGCGCTGCAGGTAACTGACTGATGTCTGTTTTATCCCCATGATATGTTCTGAAATAGGATGTGTCTACTTAAAAATACGATAATGCCAAGAACTTAGAATATTCCCTGGATTTTTCAATAGGAACTCAGTCAAATTGTTCCTGCTAGGGAGAAGGAAAAAGTTGTCAGAACTGCCATTAGCAAGGTGTGTATTCAGTCTTTCTACATAATGTAAACTTTGCATTTGAGAGCTGATATGCATGATTGATTTCTTATTGTCCTTTTTCACTTGTTATACTATACAGTTCCGCGCTGCAATCAGGTTGCAATTTGATTTCCATCGAGCCATATACAACCTTGGAACCGTTTTGGTCAGTTATGCTTGTCAATCTTTTCACAAAAATTTTTATTTGTAGAACTATAATTTCAATCCACTTAACTGACAACTGTGAATGCATACAGTATGGATTAGCAGAAGACACACTTAGAACCGGGGGTTCAGGCAACGGAAAAGACATGCCTCCCGGTGAGTTATACAGCCAATCTGCCATCTACATTGCTGCAGCTCATTCGTTGAAGCCAAGTTATTCGGTACACATATTGTCTTCAGTTGTTGCTAAGATCAAAGTTGTTTGAGTCATATTTGTATTAAATAAGATTGAGTGCCAGACGCCTTTCGGTTAAGCTGATCCTTTTCCTGGTCCAGGTTTACAGCAGTGCTTTGAGGCTCGTTCGTTCCATGGTACGTTTTGATGACCCATCACTTTACACAAACAAGTTGATTTGTTTGTGGAAATGACAAAAAAGTAAAAAATCAATTTATTTTGGCAGCTACCTCTACCGCATCTTAAAGTTGGATATCTAACGGCACCACCCGTGGGCAACTCACTCGCTCCTCACAGTGATTGGAAACGCACGGAGTTTGAGCTCAATCACGAGAGGCTTCTACAGGTACACTCTCAACTTGAGTTTCCTCATAACTATCTTGAGATCCATCATCGAAAAAGTTGAATCATGAGATTGGCGTGTAGGTACTGAAACCTGAACCAAGAGAAATGGGGCGAAACCTGTCCGGTAAATCAGAGACAATGAGCACAAACGTGGAGAAGAAGACGGTAAAGGTGAATATTACGGAGATTGTTTCAGTTACGCCTTGTGCTGATCTCACTCTACCTCCCGGTGCTGGTCTCTGCATTGATACCATTCAAGGCCCAGTTTTCTTGGTAAGTCTCCTATGTATACACACACTTGCAAAGTTTAACATAATAAAAGAAAGGAATTCGTAGGGTATATAAGAAGAAGCTTTTAAAGATTCGTATTTAGAGTATGGTGAAAAATAAAGTAAAACCAAAGAAGTGAACTGAAAAATTTGAAATGCATAACAACAGGTTGCAGATTCATGGGAGTCCTTAGATGGATGGCTCGATGCGATTCGTTTGGTGTACACAATTTATGCGAGAGGGAAGAGTGATGTTTTAGCTGGTATTATCACCGGTTAACAAAAATACTTCACACTA